GATTATCCTTATGACTATGATAAAGATCAGCATTAGATGCAAAAGAATTAAAGAATTTACATAAAAAGCCATGTTTCGTTTATTACATTAGCAATTAGAAAGCGTAGTTAGCGTTGCGAAAACGCAGTATGGGTGTGCATCCTAGATAATTCAGATCACTGCTTTAACTCCTAGATTTCCTAGATGTTGCCGAGAGCTCCATATGCAGCATGTTCCATGTCAGACGTATTTTATAAGCTCTAAGGGACGGAAAAAACTAACTGCTGTTCTCTATTCAGCCTTCCTGTTGTCTTGTTCTCTCTCGATCTTTTGCATCACCAACATGAATCTAAAAACATGAAAAAACCGCAAGCTCTAAAATAACTTTTTCATTGGCTGGAGTTTTCACTTCATGTTAAATGCCTTACCCTGGAAATAGCCAACATGTTTGCTCTCTAGAAACTTCCACAACATGAAGTATTGATGTTGGCACAGCTCGGTGGTCCATCATGTGTTTACAGATATAAAAGATAAATAAGTTGGACGAAAGGAGTTCCCTCTATTCAATGAGAGAGAAAAAAAATGTGTTAAAGATATTATCTAAAATGACGGATCTAAATAGATTATAAAACATTTTAACCACAGACATTGGGGTATTTTTAGAAGCAAATTTGTGTCAAAAAGAGAAGCAGCAATCAGAGGGTTTGGGCAGAAGGTTTGCGGTGGACAGCTGCTCAAATTAAATTAAATTAAATCTAGCCAAAATATGTTTTTTGGCAAAAGAAAAAAAGTCTGTCATGAGTTCAAGACTGAGACTGGAAAGAGAGTGTGAGAGAAATAGAGGAAAAGGGGGTTTGGGTGGTTAAGGAGTTATGGGTCAATAAACCCTGCTGTGGGGGAAGCAGAGAGGGACCCATAACGAGGTCAAGGACTTATCATCGATCGGCACATCATAAAGCTGACTGGCAAGGAGAGAAAAGGTTGGAGAAGGAGGTGCAGGAAGTAAGGAATATACCAGCTGTGAAAAATAGCTGTTTGTCATTGGTTCAGCTTCAGGGAAACTGGATGTAGAGTAATCATTTGAAAAGTAAATTATTCCTATGAAGGAAGGAGAGGGGCCATCTAGGACGGGTACAGAGAAAATAAAAGTTGATGGATTCATGGCAGAAAAGCTGAATTCTGTAACAGAAAACTCACTTAGAGAAAGCACGCCCTGACTGCTAATAACAGTAAGTCTTCCTTGGTAGATCAAGTCCACCTGTTATTGACTGGATCGCACTGCAGTTTTTGTGTCTTTTATGCACATTGCTCTCAAGTGATCAACTTTCAAATTTAAGAAATGAAGTAACCATCTTATTGTTTGAAAAGAAGTTTAGATTATTAAACTTAACAAAATAATTTTAGTAAAAAAAACTGAATTCCGAAGTAAAAGTAAACGTCTAAAACAAAGTGAAATATACTACATGTCCCATACATAGTAAGTTCTCCAAACTTATTGGTGACATAAAAGTTTCAGACTTAATATGTAATAGATTTTCAACAAAAACATGTGGTTATTCTTGATTAACAGCAATAACTGCCTGAATTTATCCTTTTAATCCCAATTTCTCATGTGAAATATTTTTTCAATGGTTGTCACAATGTCACTTTATCTGGTGAAGCTAATATTACAGTATGAGACCTGGTTATGCACAGGGAAGTTTGTTTTATATTCCAGTTTTGTGATTGACACTCTTATTAGGCTGTAAGACAGGAAGCATTCTTTAAATGCCCTGTTTTGTTGACAAAGTAGGCAAATAAAAACCTCTCGTCTAACAACACTTAATTACATCTACATGGAAGAGACGATTATGCCATTTATTTGCATTTTAAAGAAAAAAAGATTGATTTTCCACTTATATCTCCTATATGTATCAACCATTGAGTGGTTTTAGTTTATACCTCACATATTATTGCCACAGACTTGCTGTGATGCAAATTTTTAAATTCCCAAGTGTACGCACGTTGATAAGATACATTTTCTCACAGAACACTGGCCAGGTTAACAGAAAGTTTCTGGCTGTAACCATGTTAGCAGCTGCGTAAAAGGAAATAGATCACCAGGGTTACAAAAAAAGGTATTATCAATTTGTACTGCTCAACCTTTATGTTTGTGGACTTTAACTGAAAAAAAAAAAAAAAAATCCGACAAATGTTTTTACAGTAAAAAGTAACCTTCCATTTGTAGATAATTCTGGCAGCCAAATTACATATGTCCTTCCTCCTTTGTCTGTACAGCCAGATTAAATTGGTGTTCAAGTTTTTCAAAATGTGCAAGGTTAAATCGCTAACCTAGGAATTAATTTCCTTTTCTATTAATAGTAGTATGAAGTATTTTCTTCTGCATTCAGCTGCTTAGATGCAATATCTGTCTTTTTTGAATTACTTTTACAAGAATGCCCATAGCTGTAAATAACAGCACCCTGAAAGGTGTTTAAACATTTGTTTAGCACTACGTGACGAATACCCAAAAAGTGGATCTTAGTATTTGACTAGAAATATGAATCTTGTTTAAAAGTATAAATAAAGTCACAGTGATTGTTTTTCTTTGACTGTGAGGAATGGATTTGTCAAGGCTGTTTTAGTGAAGCAGTAGTGAAAGTATTTGTCTTGACATTTTTAGAGTAAGAAATCCAATTCATGATAAGATCACATTTACTATTACTGAGTCACATTCTTTCCTGCATTTTCTGTTTATTTGCAACTCTCTTTTCTGAACAAGTATTGCTCTACTTGATCTAAGCTGATGCTTAAAAAATTAACATTTTCTCCAATGAGAGTTAAGATGGAACCACTTATATTCAGAAAAAAAAATAAGTTCAGTGTTAATCCTCTTCTTAAGTCTTAATTAATTTCCCTGTGTTCATTTCTCTCCTTGACTTGCATTTTTTAGCGTGAACATTTCAAATATTTAATTTCCTCCCATGCTTGGTAGAAGAAAAAAAAAAATGGCACGGTTCAAGCTTTTATACCAGTCGTCCATCAGCTTCCCTGCAGATTATCCAGAGGTGACATTCAACGCAGAAGTTATTTCACCCTAATCTTTTTTCCTCTCTGTTGCTTTCATTTCCTCGCTATACACTGCATGTTTCAAAGTAGATCTAGATTTAAAAGCTTGTAACTTTGCAAGCAAGTGAGTCTGAGAGATGTAGAGCGATCCCTTCAGGCTAGACCGAGTCATTTAGCTCTGATATTTCCTCTGCATGAACATACAGACTCATTTCCTTTCAAACTCGAAGACGCTCCACTAACAAGACTGGGTTGATTTGTGTTTGAATGTCACAGAAGTCTTTCTGCTCAGTTTGTGTAAATTATATAATGGGAACATTTAATGAAACCACTTGTAATTGAGAAGTGACTTGTTTGTAAATATAAATAAAGATTTCACTAATATAATGAAGGACTTTTCCGAAGTAAAAAAAAAAAAGTGCATAAAACATCAACTCAAACTAAAAGTTAAACATCAAAACATGCATTTTTTATTTCTATTTTAGTAAATGAATTAAAACCAAAAATCTAGCTTATGAAATAACATATAATCTGAGGAATACTTTTGGGACCTTGAATTGTGGTGCAGCAGAGGTCTTTTGAACTACTTGAGGATAATGGAATTCCTGCCACAAATCCAACTCATAAATGTCTGCAGGTTTTCCTTATATAACCCTGGGGTTTCTGCATGCTCTTTTGGGCTTTAAAGATATGTATTTTGAAGAATTTTATGAGTAACTACACTGCCTGATCAAAGTAAATGTTACGTAGACCTGTACAGTATATTGCTGTATGAGGAGGCTTAGCTCTGATATAAATAACATATATATCTTAACTGATGGTAAACTCGGTAAATAGGCTGGTTTTCTTCTCCAGGTTCAAACTTCTATCTGAATACATGATTACTATACATGCTAAGAGAACATATTAACAACCTGTAAATTGTTTGCAACATTTTACAGACAAATTATCATGTCAGTGACTTGCAATTGACCTATTTTATGCATGAGGCAAGAGCAGAGTTCTTTCTTGGTGCCGGCTATTGTTTTGCACTATTGGAGGAACACTGGGTACATTGCATGCTCTTCCCTGTAGTACATGAAGTGTGGTTTGAAACCAGGTACTTTAGGATTCTGGAAAACCTTTTTGAAAATTCATGAAATATTATTGAAACTTAGTAAGAAAATGTTACATAGACCAGTAAATTGTCTAAACATAGGCTACATTTTCCAGTGCATTTTGTAACTGTAAGAGAAACCCAGGGGAAACAAATGAAGTTTGCATGTTCATAGCTTTGTTTTTTTGTTTTTTTCATAAGCATTCCAGGTTCTATTTCTAAAAATCACTGAATGCTACTGAAAAAAGACCCCAAAAACCCAAACATTTTTCTAAATTTCCTTTTGGTGCAGATTGTCTTTGTGGTTGTCTGGGTGTTCTGTTTGTCTCATCCCATGACTCATTAGATACAATCCATGCCCCCTAAGCTTTTACAGAAAGCATATATATGGTTTTGTGAATACCAGAGTTTTAGAAACACCAGTTGTTTCCTTTTTAATAACACCAGCACATTGTTTTGCAATTTCTGACATAAGGAAACATGACTAGCATACAAGCACTCATCACTATTCTTCACGGAATTTCAAGAGCACAAACAGGTTTTTAAGAGTGGATATTATCCAGCGATTAGGCACCAATCCAGATGAGATGTAAGAATCTTCCAGCCAAGCCAGTGGTTTGTAAACACCAGACATGTCCAGCAGCATTAATCTAAACTGGGATTAAAAGGCATCAGAAAACTTTGAAAGACCCATGTGATTGGTTGATGACTATTACCCTGCATTGTAGCTGCTAAACCCATAATCAAGGAGAACATGATCAGATAATCTCAATATGTCTTTGCAGACCCAACCCAACAGCCTAATCCTCAGATTTAGAATCTCAGATTAGGAATCCTAGATGATTAATCCCATATTGTGTTTGTACGTTGCCTGCAGGGGACCCTTCGCCGTGTGACCTTCTCGGTTGTGAGCCAACCTCAGGATGGTGGTTGCTATGACAGTGGCCTAGAAGACTCTGAGACACCAAGCAGCAAGAGTTCGTCGGGGCCACGGCTGGGAGCCCTTCCGCTTCCTGAGGAAGGTTACGAGCGCACAACCCCAGAGGGAAGCGTAGGGGAGGAGGACCATGTAGAGAATGGTAACCATCATGCCCAACATTATTTAACACTAAGCAAAACAAAATTAATTGAGCTTAAGATGTGCCAAACAAATTCACTGAAATATTTCTCCTCTCAAGGCTATGTACTTTATGCTGTGAAAGGCTTAGAGATGTTTTGATTACACACTCTATCACACACACACAGAAACAACCCAGAGAAAGACTTTCATTGGAACCTTGACTTGCTGTCAAGGTCTCAGGAGTCTTTATTCTTCTGCTTTTGATGGAAATGTGTTTTACACTATAAAGCAGTTGTCCTTTGTCTGTCTGCATGCATTGCACATCAGGATTTCTGTATGAGCAAGGCCTCCGAGTATTATGTGAGGAGATTTTTAGAAAAGCTAATGTGCGGCAGAGTCTTGTGCCAGAGTCTCATCCATGGCTTTAAGCCTCGCTGTCAATGACCAAAAATTCCCTTTGTTCCTTTTCCCACTGCAGTGTGTCCTAACAGAGCTAGAGCTATGGCAGAACAGCAAGGTCACCACGCCCACGGTAGCTGTCTAATTATTGGGGTGGTCAATGAGATTCCACTTAAGTCATGTTTTCAGTGTTGTTAACGCTGTTCTCTTTGTTTGATTGGTTTTATTAACCAATGCCTGAAATCATTGTTTGATTTAATTTGTTGGCCTAATATGTATTTTGTGTTTAGTGTTAATACCTTTTTTTTCAACGTGTTGCTTGCAATCAAAAACTTCAATGTGTGTCAAGATTCTGTGTTTCTATGTAGAAGATCAATATATAGTAGTTTTATTTGAGGAGGTACTGCAATCATTTGATGAAGGTGTGCTGGAGCAGAAACACATCTAAAATATAAAGGGTAGTGGCTCCTAAGGAGCAGGGATGGGAAGCGTTCTTTTAGAGTGTGTTTCTACCATCTTTGCAAATCTAGAGACTTTATATTTTACCATTTCTTTTTTGCAAAATTGCTCAAGCTAAGTCTGATTTGGTGTAGCCTGCAAAACATTAATCTTGAAATCTTGTTAGAAATTCATAGGTATAGACTCTGTCTAGGCCAACTGAAACATTCAATTTACTGCACTTTTGTACAAGCTGTTGTTTTAGAATCTCTCTCCTGTGGGATGTCCAAACTCTGCCACATTCTCAAGTCTTTCGTAGCTTCCTGTAAGATTTATTTTTATTTTTTAGGACTGTTTTGTATTTAGCCTCTATTGTTCTTGCAAAAATAAAAAAAACACATCGCACCGACATGATCATAACGAAACAGCCTAGGGCTGTTTAGGATGATGTGCTGTTTCCATCTTACTCGATAATCTTTCGTTTTGGTTGCATTGATTATTTTTCTCACTGTTCCCTAAAAGCCAGATTTATGAAGTAGGTCCTTAGTCCTGTAGTTGTCATGCCTGCTAATTCCCTTAGCTTGAATGGGTCCCTTGCCTGATTATCTGATACATTCTCTCCTTAGTCCAGCCTTTCAATTTGGGTGGCTGATTGACTTTTAGATATAAATAAAAATATCTTGAGTCTGTGACAAAAGGCATAATGTTTTAATTTAAAGTTTAAAGGGTATTGACCATAGTACAAGACAGTGTGTCTGCTTGTTGGTATTCTTAATTAAATTATATTTAGGCGACTTGGTGAAGCATTGTCAATATTAACACTCTCAGATTGCAAAAACAGCATTTAGACCTAGAGTATATACAACTTTATATTCAGGTAATTTCTATTCAATGCTGTTCTTGTGTTATCAGCAAAAAACAGATCCTAAGTAAAAAACAATATATTTTAAAAACAGAAAATTCACTCCTCCTTAAAACCAGCTGGAGAAAAGCACGAAAAAGAAGAATTTGTATTTGAATTTAAGTATATAATGAAAACAGTAGTACACATTCGTATTCAACCCATATTAATTGGACAGCTTGTCTTTTACCACAAGATGACCAAGATAAGCCCCACTTCCTTTATACTGGACCCCTTTTAAATGGCATTTAACCTGGTGGGTTTTAATCAGTGAAGTGGATCGTGATATTTAAGTACCAGTTTACTGCAAGAAGACACAAGATTGCGCTATTGCGTTACGTAATGATAAATATATATAGGAGCGCTCCAAATATAGGTGCAGCTGAATCTACACTGTAAAAGTTGCAATCACTGCACTCTCTCTAGTGAGCACAGCACCTCGATAGCAGATAGAGGATAAGAGTAAAGGAAAGATAGAAGACCTTTTGTTCCTTACATAATTATGACTAATCCACATGTAACTTTGAATGTACTGAAATATAACTAAAAGTTGCATAATTAGCAATATCCTTTCCACTCCAGCAATGTTTCATATTACTTTAAGAAAATATTTCTGCATAATTTCATCTATCTATGAAATAAACTATAAAATCATATTGTTTATCCAAGGTTGATGTAAAGCAATACATTTGCCACAGCTTCCTTTTCAGTTTTTCTGGTAATACAACTCTAGTACCTGAACTTTTTCCCAAAGGTTTTGTTTTGCTTTGATTGATCAGGTTTCTCTAAAGAGAAATTGAAACTTTTGAAACTTTTATTATGATACTGAAACAAAGAAAGCAAGTCAGCAAAATTATTGGATCACACCAAAAAATCAAAGAATTTCAATGAGCTCAGAACAAGAGGAGCCAGTTTTTGAGGGGGAAAAACAATTAGGTTTCGCAAAATGTTTTCTTGAGTGGGAACTTTATACAACACCATTGGTGTCTAAGGCAGGAACCTCTGCAGGGGGAGAACACAGGTTAGTGACCACATCTATCACACAGGATATTAATGAACATGTAAGTCACTGACCTGGTCTTAAAGTTCAGTCCGTGCCCAGAGTGTTGGTTCCAGCCGGTCAGCTGCCAACAACACGCAGCGGGTGCCACCGAGAGAGTGCCAGACACTAAAGTCCCGGAAGTCAGAGAAGGCAAAGGAAGGCAGAATAATCCGGAGGGCGAAGCCAAAGTCGGTGTTGAGGACATGCTCAGTAGTTAGACCCAGAAGGGGGAACCCAGGACAGTGTCAGGAATTAGTTCCAGGTTTGGTACAAAGGCAGAAATCCAGCAGGAGTCGTGCAAACAAATCAGAACAGGAACAGGCAGATCAGAGGTCCAGAGGCAGAACGGGTCAGGATCAGGCAAGCAGAAACACATAGGAACGCTAGAACCCTGACTTGCCTGTAGAATTAAAGCAGATACTGAAATTTTGGTTTTCTCCTTTACTACTACCACACCTCTAATGTTTTTAGACAATGTTTAAGTTTCCTTTGCTGAAAGTGAGGGTCCACCACCAAAAAAAAAAAAAGAAATGGACACAATGGGTTAAGAATATGATGTTATCAAAGTTTATGCATTTATAAATGAAGTGTATTCTTTTGTTGGAGACATATTGGTTTCTGTATAAACAGTGACAAAAACTGTTTAACTTTTACCGCCATTAAAGAGACATAAATCCTCTGCTATTTATCTAAAACAAGCACATTACTTGCTGTTCATTTTGTAGAAGTCTGAAAGCATTTCTTCCTAACTTGACTATATTCGATAACTCGACCTTGCAAACATTCTGCAAATCAGAGAGCGATTATACACACACCTATTGTTATCTCTTCTCCTCTTAAGGTGGGTTCGCAGTTTTCTTCTCATATATTTTGAAGTCATTCGTTGTTTGATTTAGACGTTTGCTTAGACTTGGTGCAATGAAAGCGAAATAAAATCCCTTTTTATCTTTGGGTTTCTAGCACAGGTTTAGAGTCAAACCTGTCTGATATTTGGAAATGCTCATATATTTTTCAACCTTAATAAAAACCTCACTTCCGAGAAAATAAAAGTGGGTATACTGTAGGTCATGATGATGCCTTCACCGTGTTTTACAGTGAGTATTGGTGTGTCTGTGTGTGTGTGTGTGTGTGTGTGTGTGTGTGTGTGTGTGTGTGTGTGTGTGTGTGTGTGTGTGTGTGTGTGTGTGCTTAAACAATGCGGAACAAGTTTACATTTTTTGCATAAAACCTTAACAAAATCTATTGAGAATTTTTAAGCCAGGCCTTCAAATCCTGTTTTAAAGTAATACTTTCTGCCCTTCCAGACATATGGAAAATACAGAAAATAATGGCCTCCATTGGATAGTACAAATTCTCTGAGTGAGCAGATTCTTGCATTTGTTTTTTTTCTTATCTTTCTTTCTTTCCAACTATTGGATATATTTGTTTGTCAAGTGAATATTATCTGCTTTCATGTTAAAACTCGAAAGGTTTTAAAACATGCATCAGAAAGCTTAGCATTTGTTGCAGGGGTATGTAGAGGTTTAAGATCTGTTGTAAAACTGTCTGCAGACGCCTTTCACCCTATCAAGAAGATCAGGATTCACTTGCAGGTGTTCTCGCTTATCTTTTAATGTGGATACACATGGGATTTGAAACATGTAACCTTCACATTACCAGATAGAAATGTAGATTTGCCGGTCAGAGCGTTGGTAATTGTATTCCTTGTGGTACTGATTGTTGCTTCGGTCTGACCTCACCTTTCACCTTTTATGTAGTGCTGAACGCAGCAGAAGTCAGCGATTTGCATTTTGCTTCAGCAGCATCTTTCTTCCTTTCATGCTGCTTTCAGGCTCCCCTCCCTAACAACCTTGGTTTAATCTTTTTCTTTGTTTTTGCTTCCTTTTTTCTTCTTTTCTGTTATTTGATTTTTAAATCAAATTCAGTTTCTAAAGCAGCTTCCCTCTGGTATTCTGCTTATCTTTGTTTTATATATCTAGCACTTTAGATACAGGAATTAGTATAGAAATATGGAATATTCTTCTAATTTTCTACCCTTTAATGTTCAATTTCTGTTTCCAGATGCGAGACAGCTTCCAGATGTAGCACTAACTGGAAAGTGCACCAGGGAGTGTGATGAATTTGGGCACTCTGACACATGCTGGATGCCCGTCCGCCCTTCACCACGGCAACGGCAGCGGCATGGCAGCGACCCTCCACGCCTTTCAACCTTCGCCCCAGGTGACGACAACAACAATCTCCGTGGCAATGACCGTGAAAGCGACAGCGAAAGCGCCGGCAGTGCAGGGAGCTCAGAGGCTGGAGTCATGGTGGGAGGAGAAGGTCAGAGGTTACCTATGGTCAATGGGGATCCCCTTGGCACCTTGGGACGTGGCGACCGCAACAGGAACATGGGCGACCACAACCGAAATCTTCTGAATCGTAAAATGACTTCCGCATCCTACGACACATTCAGCGGGGCGGGGCTTGGGAGGCGCCAGCCCGAGGAGGAGGGAGGAGAGGGCCAGAACCCACCTGAGGTCATACCGCTGGCGCGGACTGGAGGGGACTACAAGACAACCTCCTGCCTTACTTTGTCTCGTCGGGAGGTCTACCTGTAACAGCCTGTAGATGGATCAATCCCAATCAAACTACATTTGCTTGTTGAAAAGAGAGGTTCCAAACTGCTCTGACATGTGATCAGTGTGGTTGGTATTTTCAGCCTATGAAGATGTGAAAAGGTCTCATGAATACTTTTAAAAGCTTATATTAAACTTTAACATTTAGACTCGGACTAACAATTATCAGCACTTAAACTTGAGCGGGTCATTTATGAACTCTCGTACTAGGTACTCTTTCTAAAAAAAACTTTTTTATAACTGCTGAAAGCTACCTACTGTAAAAGGCAATGACTGTGTGTCTGCGTGGAGCAAAAGAATATTTTCTTCATTTTCTTTTTTTTTTTACTAAATCCAATGCATGTCTGACCCTTTGACCTTTGAGGTTTTAATGTAAAGAAACTGTGTGAACTCTGATGCTCTAAATGGCTACGGGCATCTAAACAAACTGAAGCTTTATCAGGCCAAACCTGGATTCAAATGGTGGGATAAAGCTGAAAGACAGCTGAAGTTTTCTCCTGGGGATAAAAAAAAAATGACAAGGAGAAAATTATGTTTTCTTCAAATGAATGATCTGATTCAAAGTGGTCAAACTTTCCTATGCTTACGGTGCCTTGCAAAAATGTTCATACCCCTAAATCTCTACCACATTTTGTTACAACACCATACTTAAATGTGATTTATTGTAATTTCACTACTAAATCACTACAAATCAGATGCAACGTAATATAACAAATAATATACCATTTCTAGAATAACAACATATCCAACATTTCCGTTCTACTTCAAAACTTAAAACTGCATATTTTTGAAAACACTATCATAGACGCATTACATTATTGGGTGCCTTTTTCAGCAGGGATATGGAAGATGATGGAAGTTGATGAAAAAAATGGATGGAGCTTAAGGAGTGAAATTCAAGAGGAAGACCTGTTAGCTTCACCACAAACCTAAACATTTAAGCAGAGCTATAATGGAACGGTTTCAGTTAAAGCATGTGTTAGATTGGTACACAGGCTCCTATGCAATCTTGGAAAGTCTTCAGAAATCCAGAATCTGTTTATGTATTTTTCCATGTCTGGATAAAATCAGCTTTGAGGAAGTAGCCTGTGGGTGTTGGGCTTTATAGTAAACAGATTTGTTAATAAACTGAAAAATAGCAGTGTCTCTCTTCTTATAAATTCTTTTCATAATTTTATGTAGGGAAATCATAATAAATGTGACTGAATAAAAAGGCAACTGTTTTCAGATTTGTACATGTTAACACTTTGGTAAACCTTGTATTTTCCTGCTGCTGCTTAGCAATTGTTAACTACTTGTGTTGGTTTGTCACAAAAAAATAATCAATAATCTATTCCGGTTTTAACTTGACAAAAGGTGAAAAAATCCCACATGTATGAATTCTTTTGCAAGGCACTGTATTTTAATGTATCATAACCGAGGTGTTTGATATTAACCAGCTCCCTGAGCTTCTTATAGTGTAAACAGAGAATCAAGGAAGTTATTACAAAACAAAAACCAGAACAAGACTTTTTTTATACATCGATGAAATGTAACTACTCACAAGATTTTCATGGAGTGTTGCTGGTAGCAGAGTATTCTGCTGCAAATGCAAATGTATGTTTGTATGATTTTTTTCTTCATACCCAGTCTGTATGTATATATCGTACGTGTGCATTGAGCAAAGTGCAGTGCTTTTAGGCTGCTGCTCTCAGTAGTTTCAGAGTAAACAGAGGTCCCAACTTCATTATGCATCTACACATACACACACATATTTATATATATATATACATATATATACATATATACACATGCAAGCATGACGTTGCAAACACATAGTGTACACACATTAGCATGCACCCTCCAGCTCATGCAGAGCATTTGTAGAGTTCGTATAAGGCGACTTTTAAGTCAAAGACAGTAATAACTTACATTCACTTTCATGCAGTAAAATCATGCAAAAGAGACAAACATCACAGATCAAGCACATCCGGAAGAAAGAAACTGAGATTCTATTAAATGCTCAGTTAGTATGTTTGTGCTTTTTTCATGTCTTTTTTTTTTTCTTATGCATTGCCTCATCAAACTAGCTGTAGTGTTTTGCCTGTTCCTCTCCAGCCAGTATTTAAACATGAAAAGTATTTAAATAATTACCCATCTCTCTCTCTCTCTTTTTCTCTCTCTCTCTCTCTCTCTGACTGATTTGAAAGGCAACATTAAAGAGAATTTCAGCGGCATCTACTCTTAAAGAAATGATAGAAACTGTCAGAGTTAGAGATAATCTGCATAGTGTAAGTGGGACTCATGTAAAAGATCCACCTCTCTGTAATTTCTATAAGGAATATAAAGGAAAGAAAAAGAAACCGCATGACACAAGATGCAAATGTCTTTTTTTCTCTTTTTTAACAAAAAAAAGCTTGTGCTTTTTGGACAGTACCACCGTTTGAATACATCTCTATTAAATGGTTATGCATCTGGAAGGGGGTGGAGATAATAATGGCAGACACTGGGAGTTATCTGCATCAGGGTGGATGCGTTTGGGCCTTTTCTTGCAGAGTTGTAAGGAAACATGCCAGAAGTGGAACGAGTGCGATGGGAGATCGGTGTTCTGACCTAAACACGCCCATACTGCTGTGCCAATAACAGACTCTTTAATGTCCCATCTTACCCATCAGCTACTGCAGCAGCATCACTGACACACTCAGCTGCGTTGTACAGAGGAGTGGGTGTGGATCGAGGCCAACGCGTCTTAATTCCCATCATCGGAGTGTGCGTGTGTGTGGCTCCATGGTGTGATATGGATAATAGGGTTAGGTCGTCCCTGTGGTCTTAATGAGTTTCCTTTCTCCTCTCCTCTGCTCCCTTGATCTGCACTGATCTCATTAATGTCTGGATAGGCAAATGTAACCGGTGGAAACTGCCAGTAAGCCTTTCTCCTATTTTATCTGGTTGTTTAGATTTAGACTAGACAAAGAGGAAAGATGACTCAGGTGTGCTAAGACATATTCCATTTTTAAGGAGGTAGCTGCAATGTGTTTTTCTTAGATTTATTGTAAAACAAGTTCATCAAACTTTACTGTTATCTGCTAAATCTCAAACGATGAGCCCACTCATGCATATATTCCTCAGTCTCCATTACTTTCAACACCCCTGACATCTAGCATGGCTGTTTTACAGAGCTCTGTTCTTGACGGACTGCACTGAGGATGTACCAAAAACTGTGAACGCTTGAAGACTCACTGAAAAGCAGACTCCTGAAAAAGGTCATTAGAAAAATGGCCCCCGCTGGAAAGAAAAAAAAGCTTGGGATACCTTTTGGGAAATATACAGGAGACTTGTCTTAGAAGAGCTTTTTTCATCAGACTGCTATCTTATGGCAGTTAAAAAAATGGCACCTTTCGAACCCCTTCCTATCTGGATTTCAGAGGACTTGCTGTACATTGAACTGTGTGGGTGTGTTCATTTTCTTTTTATACTGCACGTTTAAATCTGAATATGTTTTAGACTACTGAAAAACGAAGAGGAGAAACTGGGCGGACTGGGATCTGTCATCCACAGAGACATTTTTAAAAACTCAAGCCTTTTCTTCTCCTCTTGCTGTTTTATTCTTGCCTTGTACATAGAAAATCTACACTGTAGAAAGACTCCTGGAAACCCCTAAGAGAAGATGGCATGCTTAAGGTTCAAATCTGCACTCAAGAAAAAGAAAATAAATCAGACGAAAATCTGGTTTGATTTTCTTTTTCATTATTTTCTCATCTTAAGGGTCTGTCTTTTATGTTGTTGTTTTTTTTTTGTTGTTGCTTTTTTTGACTGTTTCCTTCCTGTAATTACATAATGAACTAATTGCATTTGCTATGTTGATTAAGATGAAGAGGAGGAGGAGCAAATGAATGGTTTGGTAATGAAGATGAACCATGTACAAGTTTGACTTTCGCATTAAAACCTTCAAACACACAGTTGCCTTTCAGCTCTCTTGCTACTTCTTTTTTTCTTCCCCATGATCAGTTATTTAATTTTCTGTTATAATCCATATAACTTAGGCTCAAGTCTCCTATAAGAAGAAAAATAAACAGACATGACTTATACTTTCTATAAAAGTCATCAACATATAAAAGTTTCAAGATTAACCTTATTAATCGAATGTAGTTTTAAAAATGTCACAAGATTAGGCATGTATATAGACATATTAAAATATTTCACCATACTTTGACTACAACATCTATTTAATTGCGAGTGAGTCAGGAATTATAGGAATAAACCACTAATGTAATGGCAACACCTCAATAAACAGTTTTCACACACTGCAGTATGTTGAATACTACTGTAGAAACTGAAAAAGATGAACTTCAGTATCATCTTAATCAGTTTATAATAACCTGGGGGAGGGGGAGATTCTCAGATGATAAGTTGTTCCTTAACCCCCCTGTACTTTTGCATTTTTACAAAAACTATATTTTTAAAATATTTTTTCTAAGGTCAGCAGAGATTGCTAATTAGAACATAGATTGTACAAGAGACAAATGTAGACTTGAGACTTGAAGAAAATATCTTATAACCATGTCTACTTTAAGAAAATGTGATTTATTTCAACTGTATTAATGATGCCAATGAAACAAAATAATGAATAAAATATTAAATTGAATTTTATTGATCTCACAATGGAGAAATGAACTCTCTGCATTTAACCCATCCCCTTTGGGGAGCAGTGGGCTGCCACTGTGCAGTGCCTGGGGAGCAATCGGGGGTTAAGGGTCTTGTTCAGAGACCCAGAGTGGCAGTCTGTGGGAGTTGGTCTCGAACTAAGAACCTTAGGTTTCAGAGCTCTATGCACTAACTGTTTGGTTGTGTACTGCAGTGTTTAAAAACTATTCATTCAATCAACAAATTTATATTTCACATTTAGCCAATGTGTGTCTGCAGATGAAGGTCATTTGAAGTAAACAAGACTTGAGTAAGTCTTAGTTATCTCCTCCAAGGTCATAAAGAGGCCAAGCTAAACTTCTGATCAGTTCAGAGCTGATACATTCCGCTGCACGACTTGTTTTAATGTAGATCTGTGATGTCATTCTGTAGCAGACTGACATATCTGGGATAGAGCACTGAGATGCGGTACCGTCCATCATCTTTAATCTTAGAAAGGTGAATCTTCCTGAACCTGATCCTGCTCTGTGAAAAGTTTTCAAATGTAGAAGCAATTTGGACTTAAGATTTATCTTACAAAATGATTCACAGGTGTTAACGGAGGTAAAGATTACTGTGAAGGACTATAAAATGTCAGAAAATTGAAGAAAAAAACCCTGCAAAATGTAGTCTGTTAACCATATATGCAACACTGACACCATGTGGTTATGAGTAATATTTGCATTGCTTTTTTTGTGTAGGTTTAACAAAGAGCAGAAGGATGCTGTAAAAATAGGGAACATCCAGGGAGAAGACACTGAAATCTGAAGGCTCTTATAAGTACATGGCTGTTTACCTGAAGTATAAAGTGGACTCGAGTCACTGACCTTTACTCTTTAAAGAGTCTTCTTTTTTTCATGACTATGAAAAATTGGAGATCCACACTGAAAGTATCAAAACTGTGAAATAACACATGTGGAATTTTATACTTAACAAAAAAGTGTGAAGCAACTGACATGTCTTATATTCTAGATTCTTCAAAGTAGCCTTTTGCTTTGCTTTGATTACTGCTTCGCACACTCTTGGCATTCTCTTGATGAGCTTCCACAGGTAGTCACCTGAAATGGTTTTCACTTCACATGTGTCCCCTGTCAGGTTTAATAAGTGGGATTACTTGCCTTATAAATGGAGTTGGGACCATTGCTGGGGTTGTGCAGAAGTCAGGTGGATACACAGCTGATAGTCCTAGTGAA